TGGAGCTCCCCCTCAGAGATCCCTCTGGAACACTGGAGCTCCCCCTCAGAGATCCCTCTGGAACACTGGAGCTCCCCCCTCAGAGATCCCTCTAGAGCACTAGAGCTCCCCCTCAGAGATCCCTCTAGAACACTGGAGTTCCTCCTCAGAGATCCCTCTGGAGCAGTGGAGCTCTACTTCTGTCGGCTCAGCGACGGCATGGCGGACAGAAAGAGGGCAAAGCAGAGCTGAGTGGGGCACACCGAACAAGGACAGATCAGGGGTGGAGGGCCGGTTGGAGTCAGCGCCTGAGCGAACAGGGTAGGACGAGCAGAGGCCACCCAGGCTGGCATTCTCAGTATGGTCCAGCCTGAACTGGACAGCCACAGTAGGGGCGAAAGTGTGTGGTTTAGAGGTTCCCAGTCCAGGGCAGGTACTCACCGCGCACTTCGTACTGGCTATACTCCAGTGGCTTCAGCACAGGCTGCGAGAGGCAGAACCAAGGCAGCTGCTTGCGGAGTTGCGGCAGCAGATAATGTGTGAAGAAGCCCACAGCCCCAGCCAGCGCATACAGCACGAACCCCAGCACCGACTGTAGAAGGCAAAGGCCAGGGGCTCAGCCGTGGCTGTCCAGGACCCTGAGTCAAGTAGGTACCTCAGAGGCGATGTGGGGAGAGGGGCTGGCCACACCAACCTTCAGGGCGATGAAAACAGTGCTGGCACTGATAGCGAAGGTGAGCAAGGCGATCACCGCACACATCACCAGGTCGGAATGTAGGACCTCGCGCTGCGGGGTCAGAGAACCAGCTTGGGGCCCGCCAGCTCAGGGAAACTAGCTCAGAGCCGGCCACACCACCATCCCATGCGCACCCCACATGCCAGCCCCCTCACCACCGACTGGCGCATCTTTTCTGGCAGCGGGTCTGGTGGCTCAGCCCGTGCCGTTTCCAAGCTCCGCTCCTCCAGCTCAGGGAAGAGCTTGCTCCGGATCAGAGACCTGGGGTGTAGGATGGGACACAGGGTCACAGGTCTGGGCCGGGAGGCCTCCCCAGAGTCCCAGAGCACACCCCCAGGGCAGGCCCACCCGTGTGCGCACAGCACAGACAGGCACATGCAGGCACCCACCAGAGCACAGTGGGGTCGCTGCTCTGCCGGCTCAGGTGGTAGGACAGCGCCACCAGGAGACCACAGAAGACCGAGAAGAGGACGGGGACGTGCTGCTCCGGCCAAGGCGTCTGGGGAGAGAACCCATGCTGGTCCGGGGGGGCAGGTGAGGGCAAGCGCGGGGGAGATATGGGTGCTCCCAAGTGAGAAGCAACAGCTGAGCTCAACTCACAGCCCCCTCCTGCTCCCTCCCCTGGGCCCTGGCATGCCCCGTCCTCTGGGCCCCCTACCTTGATGGCTCCTAGGCAGAAGCCATAGAGCAGGGAGGCAGCCAGCAAGCTGCGGGAGAGGCTGAAGACGGCGGTGAGCGGACTGGTAGCAGCTGCATGATGGGAGAGAGTCGGTAACCCTCTTCTTATTTCTATTTACCTACTAGTGGGGTCCCCTCTCACCCCTGTCCGGCTGCCCCCTCAGCTCCCAGAGCCTAAGCTTCCCTGGACATCCCCTCCAGCCCAGTGCTCTCTGCTCGTCCCAGCCTTGTTTCCCCAGCCCTTTCCAAGCTAGCATTCTTGGACTTAAACCACCAGCTCAGACAGGAAGAAAGAGCTCGATCCCTGGGACACATGAGAGGAAACTCGGCAAGGGTTAGAGCCTCAGATCCAGCCTGTGGGCCCCAGGTTCCCATGGGCTCGATACCTGTGCCCCCAAAGCCGTGCATATCTATCTGTTCCAGCAGGTACATGAGACAGGTGTTGACCTGGGGCAGGAGGCCCAGAAGGAAGACAAACGGGAAGCACAAGGTGAACACTGGTGGGGAGAAGCGAGGGCCTGGTCAGCGGGCCACTTCTTCTTGGCCAACCAGAGGGCCCCGCTCCAGGGCTGCCCCAGCCCTGGCCAGACTCACCAGTGGCCACATCACGGGCACAGAAGAAGAAGGAGGCGGAGAAGAGTGTGAGACCGTAGAGGGAGATGGGAGGGAAGGGCTGGGCCGAGCCCAGTGCATCCAGCAGCCAGATGAGCAGACAACAGACACAGAAGTAGACAGGTCGGCTGTACGCGATCACCCAGTTGTGGCCCTGGGGAGCCAAGCCGTGAGGAGTCAGACCCTAGCACCTCAACAGGCATGTGCACACACCCGGACATATCCTCCCCCAGCGCCTGGGTCTCCGGGTGAGGGCTAGCCTGAGGATACTCACATGCATGGGAGATGCAGCATCAGGCTGGACGCTCTGGAAGAGAGGGGATCCACATTGGCAAAGAGCCTGAGCCCACAGGAGAGTCAGGGGCCTGGGCCCTGCTCAGCACCACCACTGAGAGGCTATGAGTGACCAGGGCAGGCCCTTGCACTGGCCTGTTCTCAGTTTTCTCATCTGGAAGATGGGCAGTCAGCTACACAGGATCTTAAGCTTCTCTCATGCTTTCTAACTCACACTACTCCAAATGGGGGGCATGGGAATGGGGCATCTAGACAGAGGCGGTGGGCATCCTGACCTTCAGAAGCGAGTACTGGCAGGAGGCAATGACCAGGCAGAACTGGAAGACCCAAATGTCCCTGAAGAAGCCCTTGAGCAGCAGCAGGTAGCCCAGGAAGGCGACGAGGCTGCTCAGTCCGACGCCAAAGATGTTTTCCACCATCCCCCTCGTCCTGCGGAGACAATGGAGCAAGCAATGATGCGGAGGGGGGAGACAGATTTCTGCCTATGCCAGCCCCTCAGCCTCCGAACAAGGACGAGGGATAAGCCCAGCAAGCCAGCTCCGATGCTTCCTTGTTACCCAATCTTTGTCCCCTCCAGATAAAGGCTCCAGGTGCCATCACTGGGACTTGGCAACAACCCAGATCATTTGGATGAGGAGCCACGAACATGGAGGTTTCGTGCACTTTCTAGTGGGAACCTAACTCACCAAGAGCCAACCTTGAATGACACCAGGTCACAACTGACACCCGTTGATGCCCACAGTGGGTTCCCAATCTGGTCCTAACCAACACAGTTCACACCGCCAGTGACGCCAATCCACACTTACAGTGAGCCTCCAACTGATGCCAGGTCACCCACAGCCTCCCCTTAACCAACACCGGCTCATAACTGACACCAGTTCACAACCACAGCAGATCCCTAGCCAACATAGGGTCACAGCCATAGTGGGCTCCTGATCACACTCATAGTAGGCCCCAAACTGACACAGGATCACACTCTCAGCTAGCCCCCAGCTGATACCGAGGCACACCCACAGCGGGCACTAACTGACAAAGGGTCACACACACAGTTTTTCCCCAACTGACACCTGGTCATGGGGTCAAAAGGAAGCCAGAACATGAGCTTGATACCTAAGTCCTCCACAATGGATCATAACAATCATGTGGCTTTTCTGAGCCTCAGTTTCTCTTTAAGGAACAGCAAAGATGAGATGAAGACTCTGAGCTCTTTTAGACTCCAGAACACAATTTTCAAATCAAATCTAACACAGAATAAAATGACTACACAGGATGAGTGGGAACCCTGTGGTTCTGAGCCGAGCTTGGGTGGACGGTTCACATACCCCCTACCTGCTACCCTTTGTGTTCAAGTCAGTACCCAGGGCACCTTCAGCTCCCTAGCAGTCCCGTCCTGAGGCTCCAATGCTGCCATAGGCTCAGGGAGTCCTGGGGAGGGGGTCCAGGGCCCAGTAGGGCACTTACCGGTCCAACAGGGCCAGAAGGGCCAGCCGCTCGTAGCGCACAGAGGTCCAGCGGCCAGGGAGAAGCCAGTATTTGTAGCTGTGCTGAGCACGGGGCGGCGCCTCCTCCATCAGCGTCTGCTCCTGGGATTCGTGCAGGGAGTCCTGGTCCGGCAGGTCAAACTGCAGCCCCCACAGCCGCAGCCATCAGCCCCGCCGCCCCCCAGCACACACTGGCCTGCTCGGCCATTTCCCTTCAGCATAGAAAGCCCTCTGCCCACCAGCTAGTGGCCCAAAGACCTTTCCAACATATATGACTAGGGCCCGCCTCCTTTTTCAGGATCCCTGGATGTGGCTTGGTGCTGCCTACCAGAAGCCCATCACTAACCCCATGTCTGTCTACCTTATTCAGGCAGAACCTCCTGCCTCTTCCTGGACTGAGTGAAAGCCGCTTCATCCATCAGGGCTCTGAGCAGATGAGGCTCCTGTGCCCCAGACTGAGCCAGCCATGGTCACAATGACCATTTCACAGTCCAGGTGCTAAGGCTCTGAGGCCTGGACCAGCTGTGGGCTTTCTGTCCCTTCCTTCTATAGGTATTCAGGGAACACACTGTGGGCCTGGCTCAGTGCTGGGCTCTGAGGCCCCTGGTCTCTGGAGAAAAGTGTCAGCTATGTAACAAGAATAAAACCACCAGTGGCATGTGACAAGAAGGAAAAGTGGACCAGGAAGGGCCACCGAGTACTGCCTAGGATCTGTCTGTAGACTTGGGTATCAGAGTGGGTGTTCCTGTGAGGTTTACTCTCAAACCTCTAAGAAATCTGGGTTGCTGTCATCACCTGGCTGAGCAGAGATTGACGTTTGCACTGAGGCAATAAGTGTAAACCATGAGTTCAGCTCAGCAAACAGCTGCTGCTTAGCAAAGTTAACAGATTTTAACATAAAGTTAACAAAATTTAACACTTGTGTTTTATGGTTCTACAATCTGAGCAACTTCCTCACGGAGTTAGAAGCGTTATACGTGTTACATGTGAACACACAGTATTTACATGGACAAATGGGATACAAAAACAGGGTAACCGCCACCTTCATCAGTGTCATTGATGACACACATGGCACCCCCATTAACTGTGGCTTCTCAAGGGTAAAGCCAGCACTGCAGACACAAGAGCCTCTACCTGACACCTTGGTCAGGACACACAGCCTTCACTCAGAGCGGCCTCCCCCACACCCAGGCCTTAGAGCAGTGGGCACTGCTCTTCCTGGGCGCCTGGCTGATTTCTCCACTTGACCACACTCAGTGACCTGTCCACACTCCCCCTGCACCAGCTCCTCACCTCTGGGATCTCTAGCGGCACTCGCCGCACCTGCATGCCCTGCAGCACTACAGGCCGGGACTGCAGCAGGTTCAGGCCACCTGAGGCCTCAGGGACATCGGCCGAGTGGAAGCTGGAGGAGTGTGAGTGGCGGTCCCTGTGGGAACAGCAGCTGTGAGTCTGGGACTGGGCTTGAGGCTGAGGCTTGCTGCTTGTGCCAGCCCCTTCGCCTCTGAACAGGAGGGCTGGCCTACAATTTGGGGGTGGGATTTTAAGAATCCCATAGGGAGCACTAGGATTAGGAGGAGGCTTGCATGGAATTGCAGTCACTTGCTTGTATTTTCCTGCAGCCAGTAGCCTGGAGCCCAGGACCTCTGTGGGTCTGCCCCTCACTGCTCCTACCCTTGCCTCTTCAGGGCTTCTGAGCTGCCCCTGGCCCCAAACCAGGGCCAGAAAAAAACACTAGGCTTACAGGGGCTCCCTAGCAAGGGCAGTGCCTTGGCTTACTGGCCAGGAAGGGGCAAGCTTGATGGCTCACCAGGCTCCGTTGGCTGCCTGCTCGCCCTGCTGCCCTACGGGGTTCTCGTAGCCTCCTCCAGCCAGACCAAAGGTATAGGATCGTCGCACACCTGGGGCAGAAGATAGGGAGATGCGGCAGCACATCAGGGACAAGAGCACCACTGCCTGAGTTGTGGGGTCTCCAGAGCTAGTAGGTGAAGAGGAATTCTTTGCTCTGTCTTCCCCCAAGGCCTCGAGCTCAAGGTTCTAGGCTTACTGTCAGTGTGCCTCGGGCCCAAGTCCCAATTCTCCCCTAGTTCAGCAGGTTGTCAGGAGGGTCCCCTTCCTGGCCATGCCTCAGTCACAGGTCCAAGAGAAACTGCCAGGGGTGATGCTTGGCAGGGCACAGACAGCTCACCACTGGGCCCAGGAGCCATCATTGCCCAAGGAGTGGACACTACACTGGGGTGGTGGGTGGACACTGGAACACAGGACCTGGGGGTGGAGAGGACTCACCACTCTCATCATAGAAGTAGTGCACAGCCCCTTCAGAGGTGTCATCGAAGGTGCAGGCCTCATGTACGTTGGCACCAACTCGGGTGAGCAACAGTGAGGAGGCGAAGTGCAGAGCAGACGGCAACGTCAACGCCCGAGAGTGAGAGGCCGCCCGGCCCCGTTGGGCTTCCTGTAGGCTGCTGGGGGGGCGGCACGGGACGCAGAGTTAGCACTGCTGAGAGCCAGCTGCCCGCCCCCCCGCAGACCTGCCGGCAGGGTGCTCACCTGGGTGGTGAGCCCATGACAGAGGCCGGGGGCGTGGGGTTACTGCCTGCATTGTGGCGTCTGCGGATTGCCTGGGTCCGCCTCACGTTGCTTGAGCCGTCCCTCTTGCCAGTTTCCTCCGCTGCTGCCCAGAGAGAGGCCCCAGCATAAGGGATAGAGGATCAGGGGTGAGTGGCAGGCACTCCACGTGGGGCTAGAGGTCAACCATTCCCGGCCTCGGCTTCCACATGAGGAAAACAGGACACTACTCATCCACCCACCCACCCACAGGGGTCAGGAGGGTGACACTGGGGACTAGCAATCTTCCCAGGACCATGTGTCAGGTATACTGGTTACAAGACCTGGAATCAGATAGCTGCAGTCTCAACCAGTCTCCCCACCACTGCAGCCCTGCTGAGCTGATAAGGTGGGCAGACAACATCCCTCAGCCACCTGGGGTCTGACACAGACCGAGCACTAACTGTGTCCATTCTAGTCTCCCACACTCACCTCCCCCGACAGCGCCTTCCTCCTGCAGCTCCCCGCGCCAGCCCGGCTGGTTGGCAGCAGGCCCCCTGCGGGTTTCAGCGGGCAGTATCGCCAGCACACCAGCTGCCAGGTCTGCCCCAGTCTGGGCTTCCAGCTCAGCCTTAGAGCCAGCCAGGGGGCCCCTGAGGACGTCACCCCCTGCCCCATCCATGCTCAGCACCCGAGCATGTGTTTTGGCGCTGGCGGTACTAGGAGTCCTCTGGGTCCCATAGGGCCGCTTGGGGGGCACAGCGGCCCCATCCTCAGTACCATGGGGGGCCCGCCGCTTCCGGGCCCCGCCCACTGCACCCCGAGAGCTCTCGGGAGAACAGCAGGAAGTGGATGAGGAGCTGTCGGTACTATAACGGTGCTGTGAGCGGAGACTGGAGGCTGGGCTCAGCTCGCTCCCCTCACTGGTGTCCTCATCCTCAAAGAAGCCCCCGCCCTCCAGCAGGGTCCTGCGAGCTCGGCTGGGTGGAGAATGTCTCCGTGTGGGAGGCCGCCGTTTGCTAGGCCGAAGCAGGGCCAGATCCTTGGGCCGCACAACCAAGAGTGGCTCAGCCAGGCCAGGTGGTGTCCCTGCTCCAATGACTGTGTCGAAGGAACGCAGGGTGTCATCCGAGGGGACCCCAGCATCAGGGGAGGCTGGCAGCTCAGTCTCTGAGGGGGGGTCTGTGTCACTGCCTTCAGCAGCTGGGCCCCCTGGGGGGCTGTCCAGGTGGGTGGAGTTGGTCTTTTCACTCTTGAAGCTGCTCAGTGTCTCCCTGTCAGTGCCACTAAAACATGAATCTGAAGAGCCGGCTTTCTGGGGTGTGGGCTCACCAGAGCCCCGTCGGTCCAGGGGCTGGTAGCCACTGGTGCCCCAGCGCTGTTCCCGCCGACTGCTGGTCCTCACCAGGGCCCGGTCAGGCCTCGTCAGGGTTAAAAAGCTCTTGCTCAGCTCCTGACTGAGGCTTCCCTTCAACAAAGGGCTCATGGGAGTATCAGTCACGTTGCTCCCACTCCAGGGGGCTCCATCACCAGCCAGGGGAGAACGTTCTGAAGAGTCCGTACTGGGGAGGGAAGGATCTGGGGCAGCTCTCAGGGGCGTCTGGGGAAGGTCTCCAACTGTCCAGAAAAAGAGGAAATACAAAATGAGAGACAAGCAGCCTGTGGCAGGCATGGGGCGCGGTGCCTAAAAGGGGCTCATGGCCTGTTCTCCCTAAGAGCTCCCCTCAGCCTGGGCAGGAGGCTGGTGAGGCCCCATGCAGGAGAACACAGAGGACCCCAGAATGGAGACGTTGGGGTGACTGAAAGAAGACTGCTGGCTTCCCCCAAGGCCCAGCTACGTCACGCCCACTGACTCAGTTTCTCCTGTGAGCTGAGCTTCAGCATCTCCCGGTCGGCTGAGGTCACGATCACGTTGTTGCTACCCTGCTCCCGCACCAGCTCCTTGATGTCTGCAACCGAGGCCCCAGACATGTTAGCAGGACCCAGAGACAGCCACCTACCCCTTCCACACCGTCACTCCTAAGCCCTGAGCAGGAGCCACCTACCTCTGAGGGGTCCCGAGTCCTCCATCCGGGGCAGCAATTCCTGAGTGAACAGAGGGAGGTGTGAGGGAGCAAAGAGAGCAAGAAGTATCCTCAGAACATCCCTGTGGTGGGCGGTTCTCAGGTGGGGGGAGAGGGGAAAGTTGAGGACCTAGGGCCCAGACCACTCACTGAAACCTGGTTGAAGCCAAACACGGAATGCTGGGAGCTACAGCGGACTGGGGGTGTGGAACTCACTTTCCGGAACACCGTCATCTCTACTCCTGGGTCCCTGGAGGTAAACAACAGCAGCTTCAATCTTATTCCCCTTCTTACCTACGACCCACCCCACAGTCCCCATAGCGCCTACCTTCTCAAGGGGACCTTTATAATCCCAGAGCCCAGCACAGAAAAGCTGTCCAAACTCAGTGATGGAGTCACTGTGCCTAAAGCCCTTCCACCATCCTCCAATGCTCAGGGACCAATGCAGCCTCTGCCCCACCCACCTGGGAGGATTGCTGTCCCCCTGGGCAGGCTCTTCCTCAGGCTCTCCCATGGGAGAGTGGCGCTTTTCCACGATCTCACCCTGGTCGAACATAGCATGTAACCGATAGTTCACCGTCTTGATAGTTGTAAAAATGACAGCCACCACCAGGCAGTAAACACCAGCTACCAAGAGGCTGGGGGGCAGGACCTGGAGGTAGACAGCAAGTCAGGTCCCTTCCAACACAGATACACCAACCACCCCTGTCACAGCTAACTCCACAAATTCCCAAGGACACCTGAACACCCACTGGACGGGACTACTAAAGTCCCATCAAACGGCTCTGTCTCCTATTTGGCTGAAAAGTTAGATTCAAGAAGAGTTCAAGGTCACACAATCCATGAGGGGATGAATTTGGACACACACACCACACACTCTACAGCTATTTCTCCCCACCCCCCAGCGCTCCAGGCTGCCCCCTCCCCGGCCTTCCTCTTTCCCTTTCCCAGCTGGATGTCCGACCGCAGCAGATCTCACCATGTACAGCAAGAACGGGAAGGTGAGCAAGAAGATCCAGACATAGAGGTGGAAGCAGTTGGAGAAGGTGCTCTGGTGCGGGTCGAAGAACCAACCGCCGGTAAGCGAGGCCCACACCCCCTGGCGCAGGATCTGCAACACCTGCGACCCCATGGCCCCGCCACTGCAGCGCGCGCCCCCCTCCCGGGACCCTCATGGGGGCGGCCCCTGGCCCATGCCCCACCTGGCGCGCGAGGGCCCCGGGGCCCGGCCCCGCGCTCACGCCATGACCTCCCCCAGCAGGGGAGGGTAGTCAGCGGTGCCCGAGTGTGGATAGGGGGCGGGGCCGGCCGGGCAGTCAGCGGCCCAAGGCTTGGGGACAGGGGTGGGGCCGCATCGGGGGCAGGTCCAGGTTCCTATCCCCGGCCCAGAACTGTTCTGAGGGACCGAACCGACAGGCAAGCAGAGGGCACAGGCCGGGCACCGGCCGGTGGCATCCAGAGGTGGGCGTGGGGGTGGGTGCTCCCGGGGCGCAGGCGATGGCTGCCTCGGCTCCGGCCCGGGGAGAACCTCGGGACCCTGAGGTCCTCTTCCGGAGTTACAAATCACTAGCCCCGGGTTCCGCGCTCGCCCTGCTGCTGCCGGTGCCGGCCCAAAGGGAGGCCGGAAGAAGGAGCCGCGAGCCGCCAGGCTGCAGTGGCGCATGCGCCCGACAGGCCCACTTAGGACCCGGAAAAGGAAAACCTGGCGACTTGAATGCGCAAGCGCAAGAAAGTAGTGAAAAAAGTGAGAGGCGGGGGTTACCCTTTGGGCGGAGACTAAACGACGTGACAGTCTCCAAACTGAAAGGCATGCGCATATCCAGGCGTTGCCTACCTAACGGAGTGTGCTGGATGGACATTGGCTAAAGGCAGAGTAATTGGCGCAAAGCTGTCCCAATGAGTTACGGGGGGGGGGGGGGGGAAGGGTGTAGGCGTGGACTCCCTACACACACGCAAGAGTTTTGCGCTCCAGTAGAACGCATCTCTCGGCCCGCCCCTTTTAGTGCTGGGCCTTCAACGTCAGTGTGTTTCAGGCCCCCAGCAGCCTCTACTTCCGAGTCAGAGTTCAGACAAATGTGTAGAAAACGATCCTCCGACACAGGCAGGAGTAGTCGAAGCCAGAACGTGTCGTCTTTCTTAAAGTGACAGGCTCAAAGTAACTGGGGTCAACCCTAGCCGGCGGTAGTGTGGGGGCGACTCGGCTATTCTGAATCCAATCACGGTGCAGGATTCGGGACAACAGTATCCAGCTTCCGCCCCCTGGAGAAGTGCATAGGAAGTGGATCGTCTTCCAGGTGAGGGGGAAGATGAGAACTTCAAACAACCCCTTCCAAGAAAGAGGTTGAGGTGCAGCCAGTTTCTCCTCCGGCCCATCCCTTTGGCCCCCCTGCCAAATAGAGTTTCTTGTCCCCATTTTAGAGATAAAGAGAATGAAACTCCGAAAGGATGGTTGAATAGCCTTGCATCCTGGTAGCTTAGACTAGACTCAGGTTCGCCCACTCCCAAACTTGGTTCTTGATCGTGTTTTGAGGATGCAGAGGTCCCGGGACAGCGGGTCCTCGGCAGAGAGCAGTCTGTATTCCAGGCAGCGTAGCGGCCAACCTGGGGCTTTTCTTCCCAGATCTCAAAGCCTGCTGCGATGGGGGTCTGGGGCTACCCTTCCCCTCCCTCTGCTCTCTCCTCGCCCGCCTACGGGGAACTTCCTCGTACCGCCGCCCGGAGCCTCCGGGAGGGGAGCGGTGTTGCCGCCCGCGTCATCTGATGCTGTTTCCTGCAGGAGGGAGAAGAGCGGAAAAAAGTGAAACTCCACCCTCCACCTCTGCCTCCCGCCCCCGGGGCCAAAGTACAAAGGGAGGAGGAAGAAGGGAACGGGGTCGAAGCCGTCGGGCCGAGGGATCCAAACCGGGAAGAGGCAGTCTGGGCCCGACTGGGGACGCTCTCCCCACCGCTGCGTAGTCCTGCCGGAGTCCAGACGCTGCCCCGAGCGGGCTTCTCCTTACATTTGGCGGGGGCCGGAGCCAGGCTCCCAGGACTGCTTTGGACGAGAGGCGCGCGGGCCCCTCCAAGTGGGCCATGGTGAGGCGCCGGCGGCCCCGGGGTCCCACCCCCCGGGCCTGACCGCACTGCCCTGGGTTGGCCCCTTCAGAAGCCCGAGATGCGGGGGGCCGGGAGGCGACACTCCTGGCTCCCCAGAGAGGCGTGGGTCTGGGGCTGAGGGCCAGGCCCCGGATGCCCAGGTTCCGGGACTAGGGCCGTGGCGGCCAGCGGGAATTGGGGCCGGGGGTACCCAGGGAAGGTCCCCCCCACGCCTAGACGCCGGTTCCCGGCCATGGAGCCCTTGAAGAATCTCTTCCTCAAGAGTCCATTGGGGTCATGGAACGGCGGTGTTAGTGGGGGCAGCGGGGGTAGCGGCGGGCTTCGGCCAGAGGGGTCCCCGAAGGCAGCAGCTTATGCCAACCCTGTGTGGACAGCCCTGTTTGACTATGAGCCCAATGGGCAGGACGAACTCACCCTGCGGAAGGGCGACCGAGTGGAAGTGCTGTCGCGGGACGCAGCCATCTCTGGCGATGAAGGCTGGTGGGCGGGCCAGGTGGGTGGCCAGGTGGGCATCTTTCCATCCAACTATGTGTCAAGGGGCGGCGGCCCACCCCCTTGTGAGGTGGCCAACTTCCAGGAGCTAAGGCTGGAGGAAGTGATTGGAATTGGGGGCTTTGGCAAGGTATACCGTGGCAGTTGGCGGGGCGATCTGGTGGCTGTGAAGGCAGCCCGCCAGGATCCGGATGAGGACATCAGTGTGACGGCTGAGAGCGTACGCCAGGAGGCCCGGCTTTTCGCCATGCTGGCACACCCCAACATCATCGCCCTCAAGGCTGTGTGCTTGGAGGAGCCCAACCTATGCCTGGTGATGGAGTATGCAGCTGGGGGGCCCCTCAGTCGGGCCCTGGCTGGGAGGCGCGTGCCCCCCCATGTGCTGGTCAACTGGGCTGTGCAGATCGCCCGTGGGATGCACTACCTGCACTGTGAGGCCCTGGTGCCCGTCATCCACCGAGACCTCAAGTCCAACAACAGTGAGTTTCGGGGGATGTGGCTGGAGGGTGGCAAGGCCCAGGCACTCAGCTGAGTCCATGGGGGTGGGGGGTCTGCTGGATACAGGAGCTCCTAGGGGAATCCCAAAGGACCACACTGCCCCCCTCCCCAAAACAGCTCTATCCCATGTCAGGCTGAGTGGAAGAAGGTAGTAGACTCAGTTACAACTCCTGCCCGCCTCCCTGCAGTCCTTGACCTGCCCACAGCTGCAGTTTGGGTCCTGTTTATACTGTCTAGGTGGGCCACTAGCTCCTGGCCCAAGCCTGGCTGCTACCTCAAGGATGTCCCTGGATGCTAGTGTCCATGCCTTAAAGTTTATGTTTGTGGCTTTGGTGCCCTGGTCTCCCCTCCCTTGGGCAGCTCCCCCAGAATTGAGAGCTCCTAGGGGAAAGCTGTGTAGGGAGCAGCTGGGGGGCAGGGCCGCGATTCTGGCCCCACCCCTCCCTGGTTGTAGAACCTCTAGCTACTTATTTCCACTTAGAGCCTCAGTTTCAGGCTCTGTAAAATGGGGTTATGATACGTCTGTGAGTGACCACGAGGATACAGTGGCTTAGTGGACTGAGCAAGCCCTGGTATATGCTTCGTGCTTCACAGTGAGTCCTCAGCAGACCACATGTGGACGTTTGAGGGCTGGGTTGTTAAGAGGGCCTAGGCTGAGATCAGTGCTTGGGTGGGTGTGTCTGGGTCAAAGGGGCCTTAGTAGTGAGGCATTGGTCTCCAGCCAGTTCACCAGAGCACACCCCCTACAGTGGGCCCCACACAAGTAAGGAGCAGCCTCAGGGGGACTTTCTGAAGGAGGCAAGCTTGGCACTAGGCCAAGGGCAATCAGCACTTAGAGGGGCACGCAGTAGGATGTCTGGACTGGGCTTGACCAGGGCAAGTGCACAGAGGGGACCCCAGGGCTAGACCCTGCTGAAGCTCCAGGCAGTCTGGAGCGTAGTGGAAACGGTAGGAAGGGACCACGACCTAGTGGAGTCACCGGAGAGGCATGGAAGATTCTTACTGGACAGGATGGTGATGGGAGTAAGACATGGATATATTGAGCCTGCTGGCCTGGGTTCACCATGGACAAGGGGCAGAGCACCAGAACCCAGTGGTATTGGAGTCCTTGCCAGGACTAGTGGGGCAGAGCAGAAATGGGGATGGCCTGCCACTCACCCTCCCCAAACTGCTCCTCCCAAGTTGCAGGTCCTCGGTTGTTGTCTTTAAGCGCTGTTGAGTCCATTCTGACCCAAAGCGACCCTGTATAGGGTCTCCTCAGAGCAGCTGGTGAGCTTGAACTGCTGACTTTGCAGTCCAGCATATTAACCCACAGCGCCACACCCAGGACTCGCAGGTCCGTGGTAGGGGGCACCTTTAAGCCATTTAGGGACCCCGCTCCCTGCACCAGGCTGAGGGGATTCCCCAAAGGCTGGGAGGCGGTGGGAAGAGGGGAGGGCACTCCTATCCTCTGTTTTTCCTCCGTTTTCTTTCCAGACAAAAAATGGAACAATAGCCCAGGCCCCTGCTCCCCACCCTCCCCACCACTTCCTGCGTTTCCTGCTGCCCCTGAGCTGGCTTCCTGCCCCTGCTCCCTCACTGGCCCAGCTGCCTTCAGGGAAGGAAAGAACTGAGGAGGGGGGACTTGCCAGAGAGGAAGAAGCCAAGGATCATAGCCCCCCTCGCCCTAGTTCCCTGCTTCCCTCCCAGAGCCTGGGTGGTAGTGGAGGAGGGCGGGCAAGGTGCCCGCAGCCTCCCTGAGCCTGGAATCCTGCTTTCCAGACCCAGTCCTAGGTCTAGGGGTGCCGTCTGCGGGATGGGGCGGGAGAGTCCCTGGTCTGGGGGGGCCAGGCAGGAAACAATGGCGTGATTTTCCTGGACAATGGGGGCTTTGTGAGAAGGCCTGGCGGGGAGAGGAGGGCGAATTCTCCAGGCCCACAAGTCACAGGACTGACCAGCCAGCCTAGCCTGGGCCTAACCTCCCCCATTCTCCCCCTATTCTCCCCCATAGGATCCTTCCCCCCTCCCCCAGTTAGGGACCTGGTCCAGACCTCCCAGAAAGAAGAAGTAGGGCTCAGGGGAAGGAAGCGGAAGATGTGTGAGCCGCCTAGGCATTCCCGAGCCCCACAATCTGGGAGGGGCAGAGGAGGCAGGTTCCCCTGAAAAGGGGCTTGGGACCCAACTTAGGTGTCCAGCCCTGTCCCTTCCGAGGGCCCTGATTCCCTGAGGTCTGCATCAGAAACCCGAACAGCAGAATTTGGGTTAGCACAAATTCAAGGCATGGCACAAGTGGGCAGCTTGGCGGAAAGAGGAGAATGCAGGAGTGGAGGATGAGACCCAGCAGGTGGAAGTGGAGAAGGTGGTAGATAGGCCACGTGTGTAAAGAAGCTCTGAGACGTTGAGTGATGGGAGGAGACGGACTGCCCAGTCTTGAGATGCTGGTACAGAAAGTGCTTCGCTGATCTATGGATGTCACGGGGCATAAAGACCAGACCAGAAGTAATCAGCATTCTTTAAGAGGACAACTGAGCCCTGGCACCACAGGAGGCAGGGGCCCCCCAGCACACATTGGCACAAGACACCTTTGCCTGGTCCCACTCCACTCACTGGCCCAACTGTTGCAGTGCCTCTTTGTGATGAGTTTTTAAAACCCAACTCATTACCATGGAGTAGATTCCAACTCGCAGCCAACCTATAGGATGGAGTAGAATCGGCCCATAGGGTTTCCAAGACTGTAAATCTTCACTGGAGCAGACTGCTTCATCTTTCTCTCATGAGGTGACTGGTGGGTCTGAATCACTGACCTTTCAGTTAGCAGTGAGAGTGCTACAAACTTATGTTGTTGGTTTTGTTCATACGTGTCATTGAGTCTGTTCTGATTCATAGCAACCCTAGAGAGGATTTCCGAGGAGTGGTTGGTGAGCTTGAACTGCCAACCTTGTGGTTCAAACAGAACTTGCGATTCAGTGCATTTAGGGCTTACTGAATGGTTCCGAAGTAGCCCTGGTAGCATAATAGATTACGCTGGTCTGCTAACCACAAGGTCAGCAGTTCGAATCTGCCAGTCGCTCCTTGGGAGAAAAATGAGGCTTTCTGCCTCCATAAAGATTTACAGTCTTGGACACCCTATACAGAGTCACTATAAGTCATACCGTCTTAGTGGCACACCACCACACTAAATGGTTCTAAGTCTCCAGTAACCAGGCCAGAGGCTGCAGTGCAGCCAGAAGTAACGCAGCAATAAAGAATAGTGGGAAGTCAGGATGAGCAATGTTCATGACAGAATCCTTAGGGCAACTCTGCTAGATGTGTGTCAGCCCCGTGCAAAGATGATAAAAAGCATTATCTTGTTTAACACTCATTGCCAACCCAATGAGAAGACTTTTGTCATGGGTGTTGTGAACCGTTTGGGACTCAACTCCTGTTTGGCTCAGAAGAATGGGTGGATTGCAGGGGAACCTTGATGGTGTCGTGTGTGGGTTGCACATTGGGCGGCTAACCCCAGGGTTGGTGGTTCAAATCAATCAGTTGCTCTGAAGGAGAAAGATGAGGTTGTCTGTTCTCATACAGATTTCTTGTTTCAGAACCCTTCCTTAGGGTCAGTGTGAGTCTGAACCACACTGATGGAAGTGGGTTTTGGTTCTGTGATAAGAGGATCACTTGTAGAGTCCTGGTGTGGTGCTATAGGATAAGCACTGCACTGCTAACCGCAAGGTTGGCAGTTCAAACCCACCAGCCACTCCTTGGAAACCCTCTACAGGGGATCTATGAATCTGAACTGACTTGATGGTAGTGGGGGTGGTGTGGGAAGGTCCGTCAGGTGCAGGGGGGATGATGAAGGTGGTTACTGAGGGCATGTGGACATCAGGTAGGGGTTCTGGTGACTGACTCAGAGCTTCAGAGTTGGGGACACTGGGAAGGGGACAGCAGCCACCTGGGAGAGGCTGAGAGCCTAGGGGAGTTAAAGGGGGGAGATTGAGGCAGGCTGAGCTCTAAGGAGCCACCAGCCTTGAGAAGGCTGCGAGGGGAAGGTCCTCAGGAGATAGTGCACTAGCAGCTAGAGAGTAGGAGTGCACAGGAAGGCAGTGGGCCATGGATTGAGGCCTCTTTGTTGTTGTTAGGTGCCTCTGATAGGTGCTAATTCTGCCACCTCCTTCAAGAAGTCTTCCCTGACTCCAGCTCTGTGAGATTTCCTACCCCTTTGCCTACCCCACACCCTGCAGTGCCCCCCATCACAGCACCATTCCCCTAGCCAGAGCTAAGAGTGTACCCTGAAACAACACACGTTCCGAACCTGGTTCACTGCCTAATTTGCAGTCAGTTATAAGCACACAAGCATTACAGTCATTGATGAGTCCAGCTCTGTCCTCTTCATTCCTCCAAAACATCTCATCTGAGCCATGTTTGGCCTGGCAAGGGATCTGTAAGTTGCTGCCAAGTTTGCTGAAACACCTCCTTTCTGACCTAGAATTACCACTACCTTAGATCCCTCCCTTTATCATCTCAGCCAATGGCATCAGTAGATCCCTTTTGGCACCCCAAATCCTAAAGAAAGCAAGTCTTTCTTTTCCCTTGGGAGTGACTGCACCAGACATATGATGCGGGCACTGGGGAGCATAGCTGCTCCCCACCCATGGAAGGTTCTGATTCACCCTCCTGTCTCAGCAAAATGGCAAGACACCCACAGGTTTCTCTTGAAATCACTTGCTTGCAAGAGATTAAAGCCACAAATGCCAAGAGGCTGCCATATTTAACCTGCTTCTAATCGATGCAGTTTTAGGTAGCAGTTAGAACACTGGCTTTGGAGCCAACAGATCAGGTTGGAATCTACTTTCCTTACTCTGACCTTGGCTAAGCCTGTATCTTCGCCTTGAAAGTAGGGATGATATTATCTACCCCAAAGGGATTTTGTGTGTGTGTGGTAGATAATGAAATATAAAAACATACTGAGTATAAAAAGCCTGGCCTCTAGTGGACCTTCAGGAAAGGTGGTTGTTATGTGAGGTCAAGTCAGTTCCAATTGAGAGCAACGCTTTATAGGGTTACCAAGGAACAGCTGATGAATTTGAACTGCCTACCCTGCAGTTATCAAGCCAGTGTTTATTCTTCAGCACCACATCAGTACCCCCAAAAATGATTACCCAGCATTATTATTTTTGATTCCTACTCCAACCCTAAGGATTTCTGGTAGCATAGTGGATTATGAGCAGAGATGCTAACCACAAGGTCAGCGGTTTGAATCTACCAGCTGCTCCGAGGAAGAAAGATGTGGCATTCTACTCCCATAAAGATTTACAGCCTCAGAAATCCTGTACAGGATCGCTGTGAGTGGGAACCAAGGCACATAACCCCCAGCTGTGAGCTCTCCAGGGAAGGGCTGGATTCTTCACTTCTTTGTCCCTTGTTGGATGTCTGTCAACTCTTCCTCTGTGCCCTCCTCCAACCTGAGCCTGGAGCACTCACGGGCCTGCTCCTCCTCTTTCCCAGTTCTGCTGCTGCAGGCCATTGAAGGTGATGACATGGAGCACAAGACCTTGAAAATCACCGACTTCGGCCTGGCCCGCGAGTGGCACAAAACTACGCAAATGAGCGCCGCGGGCACCTATGCCTGGATGGCTCCTGAGGTCATCAAGGCCTCCACCTTCTCCAAGGGCAGCGATGTCTGGAGGTGCGGTCTAGGCAGAGGCCAGACAGAGCCTGCTATAGGGCTCAAGGGACACAGGTGGCTGCCCAAGCCTCCTCTGGGCAGATGGGCGGAGCCCAGGAAGCGGGACCCAACAACCGTCCCTGACTCCTGGTTGCTTGGGGGTGAAGTGGAGATGAGTGGGTGCAGAAGGGGACATAAACTTTCTGTCTTGTCCAAAGCTTTGGGGTGCTGTTGTGGGAGCTACTGACCGGGGAAGTGCCCTACCGTGGCATCGACTGCCTTGCTGTGGCCTATGGTGTGGCAGTTAACAAACTCACGCTCCCCATCCCATCTACCTGCCCAGAACCCTTTGCACAACTTATGGCTGGTAAGGGGGCGGGTCCGGGTGGAGGGGTGGTGCTCCCTGGCCCAGGACACACCCACCCACAGACCCCTATCTTAATCGGTCACCTTCCACCCCCTGCCAGACTGCTGGGCGCAGGACCCCCACCGCAGGCCCGACTTCGCCTCCATCCTGCAGCAGCTGGAGGCGCTGGAAGCGCAAGTCCTGCGGGAGATGCCAAGGGACTCCTTCCATTCCATGCAGGAAGGCTGGAAGCGCGAGATCCAGGGCCTCTTCGATGAGCTGCGAGCCAAGGAAAAGGTGTGGTCGGGTTCTAGAGCTGGGGAAGAGCATCTCCGGGGACTCCAAGGGGCAGAGGGAGACTTAGGCTCTGCACTGGGCTGACCCCTCATCTCCACTGGCCCTGGCCCAGGAACTGCTGAGCCGCGAGGAGGAGCTAACACGCGCCGCCCGTGAGCAGCGGTCACAGGCGGAGCAGCTGCGGCGGCGCGAGCACCTGCTGGCACAGTGGGAGCTAGAGGTGTTCGAGCGCGAGCTGACGCTGCTACTGCAGCAGGTGGATCGTGAGCGGCCCCACGTGCGCCGCCGCCGTGGCACCTTCAAGCGTAGCAAGCTCCGCGCCCGAGACGGTGGCGAGCGGATCAGCATGCCTCTTGGTAAGGGGCAGGGCCTCAGGGCCCATTGGCTGCGTGGAAGGAGGGGTGGGGGGAGGTCAGGCTTGGCGGCTGGTCGATCTGGGATTGGTTTGGGGTGACAGTGGGTGGACCCGTGAGAAGAAGGTAGGAAGGGGTGGAGCCAGGCTTGTTTTTTTCTGTCTTGGGACGGGTTCCTACGGAAATATTTGCATGTCGGTCTGGGAGTGGCTGCCGGCGGGAAGAGGCGGAGCCGGTGGCAGTTCTGGGAAGGCTCAGGGGCGGGGCGGCTGGGGCGGTATGTTTTCAACTGCTTTCTGTTTCTCTGGATGGTGGTGGCCTCTTGGCTTCTACGGGGATCCAGGGAGGCGGTAGCCCCAGTCACAGGTGACAGACCCCTCTGGGCTGAACTGGCTTGCATTCACCTCAGACCTTACCCCCCGTTTCCCCTACCCCCAGACTTCAAGCACCGCATCACCGTGCAAGCTTCGCCTGGTCTTGACCGCAGGAGAAACGTCTTCGAGGTGGGGGCTGGCGATTCGCCCACCTTTCCCCGGTTCCGGGCCATCCAGTGTAAGAACCCCCTGCCCTTCCCTTATTCTTTGAGGGAGATTTCACCCACTGTCTGCTCTTTCCTCCTTGCCATCAGACCTCCTCACCCTTCCGTCCAAATGGATATCTCTGAATCCTCTTTAAGTAACATTTTGGTCATTGTTTTAATCAAACACTTGCATGAAGTTTTGTCTCATTCTTTTCCTTAAATGGTCTGTTAATAGTAATCTTGCCATTCTCCACAATAACCCTATGAGTTACAATGTCATTATTATAGATGATAATACTAACTTGCCTGAGTATCACACAACCAGTCAGGGGCACAGCCGAATTCCCACTCAGGTCGTTGACTCCACTGTCTAGTAACTACAAAGCAGCCACGGCGGGCTGAAGGATGAAAGGAGATGCCCCTTCCCACTGCCGGTCCCACACCCAAGCCCACCTCCCCTCTTGCTCCAGTGTTGTTCCATTTCTCGGTAGCCTGGAGAGGTATGGGGCCTGACTTCCTCTCCCTCCTCTAAGTGGTTACTCCCAGACTTTGGTTCTTATGATGGGAGGGGAGACAGAACAGGGTTCCTGAACTCTGCTCACATGATACTGGTTCCCCCCCACCCCCCGACAGTGGAACCCGTAGAGCCGGGCCAGGCTTGGGGCCGCCAGTCCCCACGGCGGCTAGAGGACTCGAGCAATGGAGAAAAGCGAGCATGCTGGGCCTGGGGCCCTAGCTCCCCCAAGCCTGGGGAAGCCCAGAATGGGAGGTGAGTGACTGATGACCCAGGCCACCCCGTAGCACCACCTGCCTCCTCACAGTCCTGAGATTCAGCACCCCTGTGCCTCTTCCTTCCATCAGGAGAAGGTCCCGCATGGACGAGGCCACGTGGTACCTGGACTCAGAGGACTCGTCCCCCTTAGGATCTCCGTCCACGCCCCCAATGCTCAATGGTGAGTGGTCCTGTCTCCTCCCACCAGGATTTTACTGAGTTCCTTCTGTGAGCAACATGGGGAAGCATCCTCCTCATTCCAGAGGCAAGAAAACTGAGGCCAAGGCAGGGCCAGGCTAAACCTAGAGCCCAGGTCTGACCTATAGACCTATGATTGAGCTGGATCCAGCCCAGGCCTCCGGACCCAGAGTCTGGCCTCCTTTCCCCCCTATCCCAGTTCATGTCCAACCTAGAAGAGGAACCTTTCCTGGCTCCATGGCCACCCCTGTGCCCTTAATGGGCTCTAGGGAGGGAAGGAGAGCAATGATCCTCCAGTTGGTACAAGAGAAGCTAGACCCAGGAGGGGAAGGCAACTGCCCATGCAGGGTGGAGCCAAACAAGTGGCTTCCACACTGTGCTGCCCAGAGCCCCTGCTGGGCCATAAGCAGGAGGGACTGAGCAGGCAGGGATCCAGGCCCATTCCCACTACCTCTGGGGCAGCGCTGTGCAAAGTTCAGCATGATGATAGCAACACGTGCCTTGTGCCAGACCATCCAAGCAACAACCCTGGGAGGCAGGTGCTATTCTCCCCATTTTAGAGATGAAACGGAAGCTCCAAGAGGTTAAGGAACCTGCCTACAGGCTCCATCTGAGAGTTTGAAGCCAGCAAACTTCCTTGAAAGTTTTCACTTGAAGAAACACTTTCTTGTATATAAACTTCTAGGGAAGCCAGGAGGTCACGCTCAGAGCAAGACTCCCATGTCAGGAATGGGGGTCAGTTTAACACTGCCCGGCCTTGGGGATGGCCTCGAAAGTTGCACCCTACCTTTCCTGTAGGTAAAGGTTTCTATGGCAGCCCCAGGACCATCTTCAGAGCCCCAGCCCTACCTGCTGGTTGCATTTAGCACAACTGCTCTCAGACCAGAACCCTGGTTGGCAATCCATCTAGAATCTCCCCAAGCTGCACCCCAGCCCTTTACCTCCACCATGACTCTGAGCTACACTCTACATTTAATTTCTGAGGCTGGTACTTAATGGGCACTCCATATGTGTAAGCAATGCTGTACAACGTTGTTGTGAAGTGCCGTCAAATCAGTTCCAACTCATAGAAACCCTGTGTAGGGTTTTCAGGGAGTTGCTGGTAAATTTGAATTATCAACCTTTTGGTAAGCAGTCCAGTGCTTTTCCTACAGTGCCACACCAGGCATTTCCATATTGTTACTAGCTATGTTTTCTGTAGGAGGAACTGAAGCACAGAGAAGCTCAGTGGTTTGATATAGGACACACAGCAGAGCACAGGTGTGAACCCAGGGCTATCTGACTCCAGCAGGAGGTTCCTGGACTCCCATATGCTGTACCATTTTTCATACTGACCCCAAGCTGGATGTGGGACAGGGTGAAACTGACATTTAGAAGGCCCCGGAGGCTGCTTAGATTCACCTATTTTTTAATGTTCATTGGAGAACTTGAGGGCCAGTCACTCTGGGTGTGTGCACTCAAAACAAGGCCTGGCTACGTTCTGATGAGCCATCTGGTCATGCCCTCCCTGAGCTTCCAGAGGCAGGAACATATGAGCCTGGGCCCCAGTTTGTTTCCTAGCCTGAGTAGATGTCCGCCTGTCCCAGCCCAGCTACTGGCTGAATGCTGGGTTTCCCAAGCCTAAACCCTGAGCCCCACCAGGGTGCATGACCTTGATCTGGCTGTTTATAGTCAGAAGCCTGGCTAAGGGCAGGGAATGGGGTCTCATGGAGAACCCCAGCCCTATGAGGTTGCTCCAGGCAACCGGGGGGCCATGAGTCCCCGTCTGGAGGGCCTAGCCCCTGAAGAAACTGCATATTGACAAGTGCAAACAGCCTGTACTGATAGGCCTTATGAGAAACTGCCCAGTGACATTCATCATGTGATATGACACTCTGTGAACTCTCACGGAAGGAGTTTCATCTTCGTCTCAGAGTCAACAATCATTGCGCTGCTTCTCCTAAACAACAGGACTGCCAGCTCATACTACCAGGAGACTTAGAGGCAGATTAAAAGGCTAGCAGAGTTACCTTGGACATGTCACTTACCTCTTAGAATCTCAGTTTCTCAGCCCATTGCCTATAGGAACTGATGTCTACTCTCATTTTGTACTTGTTAGATGCCATCAACTCAATTTTCAACTCATTGTGGCCCCTTGTGACAGAGTAGTCATGTCCCATAGGGTTTCCTTTTGTTAGGGGACATTGAGTTGGTTCTGACTCATAGCAACCCTACGTACAGCACAGCGAAACATGCCGGGGCCTGCGCCATCCTCACAATTGTTACATTTCAGCCTGTAAGGTTTTTTTGGCTCTAATTTTTACAGGTGCAGATGGTCTGGTTTTTCCTCCCACAGAGTCATTTATTGTTGTTGTTAAGTGCCGTCGAGTTGGTTCCAACCCATAGCAACCCTGTGTAGGGTTTCTGAGGAGTGACTGGTAAGCTTGAACTGCCGACCTTCTGGTTCAAATGACTGCAATCTGGCGCATTAACCCACAGCGCCACACCAGGACTCCCAACAACAGAGCCATTGGGTGGGTTCAAACAGCCACCCTTTCAGTGAGCAGCCTAGCACTGAACCAGTGTACCACCAGGGCGCCTTTCATTTTGTGTTTTGACCTGTTTCATTCTCTTGTTGGCTTTTTCTGGCTTATTTTTATCCATTGGTGTGGCAGTCTAATGCTTAACCCACTGCCCCACCTCCTCGGCTTTCTGTGACTTCTTATTCACTATTCAAAACCTCCCTGAGGTCAGGGCAGTGTCCTGGTTGTGTCTATGTCCCCGCTGCCTGATTCTTTAATACCTAACACTGTAGTATCAGAAAGCACGTTACTGTTTAAACTCACTGCAAACTGTCAGTCTCTTCACCTAGAACATGGACTTGTCCTGATTACCAGAATGGAGTCTTCTATCATGCCGGTAGTAATGTGTTTTCTGAGCCAGACATTCATGTGTCCTGGCCTCAGGGAGCTCCTCTTCTGGTGGTGGAGGCAGACTATTAGTTAGCAAGCACAGAGGAGATTCATTAAGTACTGGGGATGAGGGTTGCCCAAGTTTAGGGGGATTCTGGGTAGGCTTCACAGAAGAGGTGACATCTCACTGGGACTTGAATAGTGAATAAGAGATCACTGAAAGCCGTGTAGGAGCCCTGGTGGTGCATTGGGTTAAGCATTAGGCTGCTACTCCAATGGATAAAAGTGAGACTGCAAGCTTTAGAGCCTCAGAAGCTCTCTGGAGCAGATATCTCAATCTTATAGGGTTACTATGAGTCAGCATCTCTGTCTTGTAGGGTTACTATGAGTCAGCATCTTATAGGATTACTATGAATCCGCATCTCCGTCTTATAGGGTTACTATGAGTCAGCATCTCTCCATCCTATAGGGTTACTATGAGTCATCATCTCTCCGTCTTATAGGGTTACTGTGAGTCAGCATCTTATAGGATTACTATGAATCTGCATCTCCGTCTTATAGGGTTACTATGCATCAGCATTTCTCCATCTTAAAAGGTTACTATGCGTCAGCATCTCCGTCTTACAGGGTTACTATGCATCAGCATTTCTCCATCTTATAGGGTTACTATGCATCAGCATCTCTCCGTCTTACAGGGTTATGATGAGTCAGCATCTCTCTGTCTTATAGGGTTACT